ACAATTTAAATATAAGCCCAAGTAATTTAAACCACTGTAACGAATGCTAGAATGTCCAAAATGAAGCAACTCACACCACAAACTTTCTTAATACGATTTCCATTTGTCGTCGATTTCGAAAAGTTTTGAAGTATGTGAATATATATTTGTATAGAATAGAATAGAATAAACTTTATTGTGCCAATGCCGCCAAGACTTACACTCGGCATATACAAAATATACAAAAATCGGCATAGTTCAACACACTAACTATAATTTTAAATTACATAGTAACACTGCTACTTAGATATTTATCGACTGAGTAGAACGCATTTCTTAGCAAAAAATCCCTCATGACATTTAAAAATTTATTTTTCTGGTGTGTTCTAATTTCCGAGGGCAATTTATTATATAAGACTTGAGCAGTATATCTATAGCTTTTTTGGGTTCCACTCAGTCGACAAAAGTCAACATAAATATTTCTGCAGTTTCGCGTCTCATAATTGTGCAGGTTAGCATACATGCAGTATTTGTTTCTGTTATTGTAAACGTATAAAAGACATTCCAAAATAAACACAGATGGTACCGTCCAAACTTTCAGCTGTCTGAAGACGTGTCAGCAATCAGCTCTATAGCTCAGCCCTGAAATGACCCTCAAAGCTCTGCGCTGTAGACCAAATATGTGGAAGCTAGTTGTGCTTCCCCCCTCCCCCCAAGCAATTATACAATAACTTATAATTGAGTGAATTAATGCGAAATAGGCAGTTCTGGCTACCTCGGCAGACACCGAACCAATCAATCTGCACAATAAGAAAATGTTTCGGAAAACTCAGTGTTAACCCCACAAATTTAGTGGAGGAAAGTTCCTTTAGATGATGGTGTCTAAGACTGAACAGTGATATATATGACCAAAATATGTAAATTTGTTGCTTATTAAAGTTGTTGATGATTACACTGGGGAATCTGAGCATGCTTCAAGAAAACTACTACAACAAAATTTTATTCTTATCAGTATTGCTCTCTTATACTTTTGCACTCAGAAGCATAGATATTGAGAAAAATACGAAAATATGAAAATTTTATGAAATTCGTTGGTTTGAAAGTACTTCATGGTACTTGGATATCAGAGCATGCTATAAAAAAACTTTTAAAACAAAAGTTGTAGCAAATGTCATTCTTAACAGTGTTGCTCTCTTATACTTTTGCCCTCAGAGGCATAGATATTGAGAAAAATATGAAAATTTTATGAATTTGTTGCGTTTTAAAGTTGTTGATGGTTACACTATTGAATCTGAGCATGCTTCAAGAAAACTATTACAACAAAAGTAGTAAATTTCATTCATAACAATATTGCTCTCTTGTATTCTTGTATTCAATATGCTCTTCGATGCCTAGATATGGAGAACAATACAAAAATGTGACAATTTTATGAATTTCATTGTTTTTAAAGTAGTTAATGATAACAGTTGGATATCAGAGCATGTTACAAAAAACTTTTAAAACAAAAGTTAAAAAAATTTTAGCAAATTTTATACTTAGCAATATTGCTCTCAGAGGCATAGATATTGAGAAAAATACGAAATTATGAAAATGTTATGAATTTCGTCGTTTTGAAAGTACTGCAGGGTAACACTTGGATATCGGAGCATGCTATAAAAAAACTTTTAGAACATCATTGGCAACACACCACTCATTTGCTGCCATCAGCAACCCGCTCGAAGAGGACAACACTTCCTCATACTCATCACCACTCACCAGCAGCGTACCTTAGAAAATCATTAAAAAAGAGAATAAACAAAAGGGGTCCCAAAATTAATCCCTGAGGAACGCCCCTTGTAATAGGAAGACGCTCAGAGAGGCAGTCTTCACATTTAACCCGTTGGGATCTGCCTGAAAGGTATGCTCCTATTAAGGCAACGCTATCTCAAGCAAATCGGAAGACATATTCAAGTTTGTACAATAGTAGACCATGAGATACGCTGTCGAAGGCGCGTGACAGGTCCAGAAACAACGCCATACAAAATTTCCGCTTTTCGTAGGCATCATAACAAATGTTCATGAAATTCACAACAGCATCCTTGGTACTCCGACCAGAGCGGAAACCAAATTGGTTTTCATGAAGCATATTGTTTGACTCAACATGTGCCATTATTTGCCTGAATATTACACGTTCAAATATTTGGGATAGTGTTAGGAGTATGCTGATGGGTCGATAATTGGAACAGTAATTTTTATCGCCTCGCTTGAAAACAGGAACAACGGACGCTACCTTTAACGCATCATTAAATATGCAAGAAGATAATGTATTGTTAACCAATGTAGTTAAAGGTTTCACAAATAGGCTTATATTGCATTTAATCGCACATTCCGATACCTGTGCAAACGAAAACGCAGGAACATCGTTTAAGTCTGTAAGACACACATCCGAAGAAGAAACAGCCTGAGTACTAAGCCGAGAAACAATGTTATTGGCCTCATTCACAAAGAAATTGTTAAGGATATCAGGATTTATATCCACTGTATTTTTTTTGTTTGCATTTGGTCTATTAAAATTTATAACCGACCAAGTTGCTCTAGAATTGTCTAGTAGTTTGCAGCTTTACGTTTAGCTTCAGCTAACCGTGCACGATATGACAATCTGGCCTTATCTTTCATTTCTCTAAAATTATCTGATTTAAAACGGTTAAAAATATTTGAAGCCAGGTCATAGTTTTCTCTTAGCTGACGGAATGTGCTGTCAAACCACTTTATTCCTCCACCACTGTCTTTCACCCGTCTTCTGACTATGGGATATGCTGTATGAAATGTAGTTAAAAATCTATCAAAATAGTAATTAAATTTCGCATCAGCTCCAAGACTGCCATCAGATAAGCGTTCCCAGGAGTACTGTTGAAAGAGTTCAAAAAAACCAATATTGCCCTCAAAACTGATTGTCCTATCACTGCTAGCATCTGAGTAAAGTTTTTGATTGGAATACTGCTGACGCAAATTGACCATGATGGCCAGAGATATTATTTATGATGACTTCAGATCCAACTACGTCTTGTTCTAATTTAACAAAAATATTGTCAAGACAATTTTTTCCCTGAGTTGGTTGTATAGTGTAAGGCATCAGTAAATAATAGTGAATGAATTAAATATTTGAAACTAATGAAAATAGAAGTTATTGTTAGTCAATAGCAACTTAAGGTTCTACTCTAACCACTCTACTCCAACACTTGAGGTTGTCTGTGAAATGGCTGGAGAAATTTGGTTCGAAATCATGTCTATAAAATCAATTCGCTCCCATTTTATAATGAAAATATTACAAACTTTGCAAAACATCGAAAGGAAACATGAAATATTGTATGTATATTTCGTAGAGATTAGAGCTCTCGGCTAGATACTCAGTTAGATGATCAAGCTAGCTCGTTGTTTGCATGTACGATTTAGCAGTGCATATTACACATCACACCTAGGCCACAGAATTGATGTTGGAAGAATCGCATTCTTTGACCTCGATTTAAATTCAGGCATCTTTAAGAAGGAAATCCAACGATCTGGCAATATCGTCGCTTCGCTTCTCTCGAAAAAAGTGAAGCAAGCGACGTTGCCAAATTGTTGAGGGAACCAAAGGTACTTCAATAACAACAAGGTTCCCTCCTAAAACATGGAGTTGCCGCACAGACAGAGTTTTGGCGGGATACTCCCAGTGTCGTTTTTGGTTATTCGTTAATGGCGCCTAGTGCCTAGGCGCCATTATGCCTCTTGTGCATCCTCCCTACACTCACTCAAGTCGCATCAAACAATCATATGGTTATCTGAAAGCATAAAGAGCTTCTCAGTGGAGGGTTTCTGATGCCAAGCGTATTCTGACGACGGTCAGAGACACACCAAACAGCTATACAAAATTTTATAGGTTACGGTAAGGTCACTTACAATTAGTCATAAAACTTACAGCTACAAGACTATACTAGACGTACACGTTTAGTATTTTTCAATAGACGTAACACTAAATCTGACACGAATTATTGAATATGACACTATATTAAAGAATTTTGGACCAATCAAGATAACCCATGAACAACTTGACAAAATAATTGTATAATCTAGGATAATATCTAGTTTATAGATAATAGTTACCAGATTTACTAAGACCCACAAAAGTTTGCTTTTATTGCTGAAGGACAAGTTCAAGAACTTTTTTTTGGCAATGGGGCCTAATCGATTCGATATTAATTTTAGAAGTTTAGATTCGATATTAGTCTGATTCATTTGAGTAGCCTATTAGCGTAAATGTTACTTGAGCAACTTGAGACTCTTCAACTTCCATACCCTAATTCATCAATGGTTCAGTACTCTGATAAAACATATTACATTTTGTCGGAAAAATAGTAAAATTCTTACGTTGTGTGAAGGAAACGAGAGAAGACTTCGGCATTACATCTTCATGAACCTTTTGTACTTGAGTAAGCATGTGTCAGCAAGTCTGTAACATATAAAGATGCAAGTGTCGTATTCAATTAGGACAGCTCTTTGACAGTGGCTGAAAGTAACGCACGCCTTATTTATTCTATTTTGACGATGAACTTTCCACGTTAATTTTCTACTTATCATAAAAGTAAACCTGTAGACAGTTTAAGTGGAGTTTTGGTGAGTTACACTGACAATGAGAAGAATTATAAATTATATTATGTTTTCATAATAGGGCAGATGATAATACTCCCCACTACGAACAAATTTTTTTTGAACAGCTTTCTTTTTTGTTTTTTTTAAGAACAACCACACAAACGGGGTCTTGAGCAACCCTTAAATCAAAGAGTCTTTGTGTTAAAGTGTTCTCATTCCAGCCACAAAAGTTCAAAAGACGCTGTGAACACCTAACACACCTAATATAAGGTATAAAGGCAACTTGCGTCAACTATCTAATCGCCACTGAGTACATACCCATAAGGATCCCAAAAATTACTTCTATAAAATTATCTATAAATAATTTTATTCTTTTTGAAAAAATTTAATAATTATTTTTTTTTGTTTTCTAGATCTGACACCCAACATCATCGAAAAGGTAAGTCATGTTTTTAAGTTTTCTTTTCTTGTATGGTACAAACGGTGCAAAATGATGGTAAATAATACATTGTGCGGAGTCAGCGTAAAACTCGAGGATAGAGTCAGGTCCCGGCGGTACGATTCTGCTCGGCAGTACTTCTCTCATAAATGCGAACATTATTTATGGGAATGTCCAGAGCGATTTGTCCCCCACATCGAAATTTAACATTATATTTGTCGTATGTAGTACTTCTCTTTTTCCCCTGCGACGTTTTGAAGCCGGAAACAATTCTTTAATGACACAAAAAAAATAAAGAAAAATGGAAACATTAAAAAACGAATTGAAACTCTTTAAATAAACAACCTAAAACGGTCTGGTATGTCTACTGTGTGTATAATAATATTGCTAGATACATACGGTATGCTAGTTAAAGCTTGCAAACTGCCGATCAAACTGCTATCTGTACAAACTATGAACCGTGTACGCGTAAATAAATAAACATTTCGCGAGTGGGTCGAGAGACATCGAGTCTATTTTCGCGTTGCGACGTTGCCGAGACATTCTAGAAGTGAAATTAACTCACGTTCGTGTTTCTACCGTTGAAAAGAAAATACGCATCTGTTATTTTGACTTTGCTACACAGCAAATGTTTCCACAAGTTTTCAAACTGTAATGGTATATCAATTTAATTTAAATAAGCGACAATCTCATTGCGAGACTGAGGCAAAGTGGCAAAGCAACTTTGGAAATCCGAAAGTTATTCCAACCAGAAGAGCAAAAGTTTAACTGTTTATTAAAAGAGTATTAAATGTTGATATTCGTTCTCGAGTTTGAGTTAAGAATTTTATTCCGAGAAACAAAAATTAACAAAATAACCTGTTTGATATTTCTGAATCCTCATAAAAAACGGTAATAAAAGTAAGATTTTGCAATTTTAAATTTAAAACATTCATAATTAATGAATATCATTCAACATAAGCAAGTGCATCTTCAAAGGTGTTTAAAATACCTAATTGGTCTTTGAAAATGTAAAGGCAGTAAACAACGTTGGTCGTTGTCGTCGGGTCTGGTGCGTATCCAGAAGTATTCAAAACAGAAGGAGAATTTCCTTTGAACGTTCCATCTGGATTAATAACTGAAAATGAATATGCTTCGGTTCTAGCTATGAGAGTAGGTCTGGTTTTTAATCGTGAAATATGGCTGGCGACGCCAACGATTATTTTATTGGATGCCCTGCATGTGACTGCGAGCGAAAATAACTCCCTACTTAACCCTAAATATAGGTGGTTCCCGTTTATAACGCTGATGTGTGAAATATGGCACGCTGACATATTTCAGACAGTCCATTTAATTTCTAACCTCCGGTTTCGGACGGTATTTATTTTCGGGTTGAAGGGGTTTTTCACTTGAATTTTGACGCATTAAAACCGGATGTGCATCATAAATATTAATTCTTTTCTAAATTTAAAGAAATTTGAAATAATATTAGACAGTGAATAAAAGGATGATTGATTTTATAAAAGAATTTTTCAGTGGTAATAAGGTCATTGCATAATTACTTAGAAGTACATTTCAATAATGACCACTTAAAAGGATTAACTGCGGAACTTTTGAATCGTGGTAACGATTACCCCCCTAGACTAACGTAATTGCAATTAAAATCGAGCTGGTCATAAATTATGTGCGGGTCGGAGGCCGTTTGACTCGCCGCCATACAAACCGCACTTGATGGCAACCCGGATGCTACGCGGGGTTCCCCGAATATTGCCATAATAAAATAGTCTACGCCCGGAATTTTCCACCATTATAAATCGTGGAACAGGCCTCAGTAATGGCTCGCGCCGATAATAACCATTTTATCGAACATTGCTTACGAACCATGAATACTTAAATTTGAAAGCCAGGATATTGGAGGAAATCGAACCCAAAATTCAATTTCAAAGAAAACAACCATAAATTAAACGTTAAATTTTGATTTAACTCTTCATGATTTAACGCTCTCGTAAAAGGGTTGTTGTTAGTAGTCAGGTATATAAATTCCTATCTCCATTACATTTTGGGAGAATCTAAAGTTCGTTGCGTTACAAATACGACCTGTCACGTGAACCGCACACATGGGGGTGCACAACCCTTATCCGGGCGTTCACGCATGATCAAGTGTTATCGAGCATTGCGGTCGACGTGAGAGCATCCTCACCGTGGCCTCTTCATTAAAACATCACAAACTGTCATAAATAATATGTTGAAGACGGTTCTAACCCATCCTACTCTAATGACCATTTTAGATTGCTCTCTCGAAAACTTCTCAACCCCCCAACGAACCCAACGCATTAACTTTATTTTAAACTGTCTGGTTTAAAATGTTTAATAACTTAAAAATTATTAACACAAGTCGATTAGAGTTTTTAAATTTTAAATGAACAAAACGTATTTAACTTTCATTGTTAACTTCAAATATATTTGAGGGTTCATATCCATATAATAGAATTTTACAAATCATGAATTTCAAGTTTTTCTCCAAAATTGCTTTTACAATATATTCAATCAATAACTACTGCCCTACTGAAAAAGTTCCCAATTGTAAATTAATCCATCGAAGCCACATAAAATAAAAGCTTTGTCCTACTTTTTTTTAGTTTATTTCTCAAATTAATACTGTTTCAGGTACTCAACACTCAACATTTCTACCATGGGAGTAGCTTTATCTTTGTTATTATGATGTTTATTATCATTGAAATGTAATCTTGCTTCATAATTGTTCTCGCCGGATTCTGAACATAATGCTTGATATCTGAGAAACTTCAGTCTCTAGCTGCCAAAACATTTTAGCTCTAGGTAAATAACAAATTGATAATTAGATGTTATTCCAACAAGATTTGAACAATGAATAAATGCTTAAGTAATCGGCAACATTGAAAACAATACATTGACCGATTATAAACCTCAATAAAAACAAGTTGCTCTCTAAATTTCAAAGTGATACTTTACTGAATGCCTTAGTTAGTTATGACTTTTTGAAAGTCATGTAATGTTATTGTTTTTCCAATCAATCCAAACAAAGGTAAAAAATTCATGAAATATAAGTTATTTGACAAATTTTTCATTGAATCAACGTTGAAGTAACCAATTCATGGAAAATATTTCTTCCTCTTCATTCTAAACAGGTTTGGGATTCGCCATAAGGTTATCGTAAAATGTTTCTCTGGTATGTAACGAAAGACTGCTTTCACATTTTTGATACCTTTGCTTTCGAAGACCTATTCTACAGGCAAAGGAATAGAATCCAATCTGAAGATACCCAACTAATTAATCTATCTATGTATTACCTAGCTTGCACACATCCCTTACGTTCAGCTATATATAGTAGAAGGCGGTTTTTCTTTGCACTGTCTTTGCAAGATTTTTTTAAATACCGATGCCACCAGTCTGTAAAATTTTAGATTTGTTCATTTTATAGCCAGTTCTCTTGGAAATAAGACTCACGTACTTTTGGGTTTCGAATATTCCTCTGACGAATAGACGCGGTCCAGCCTGCAAATAGTACTTTTATCGTAATGAAATTTCTATTGGACAATAAAGAAAGTGTAACCACGTTTCGGAAAATATTGATGTATAACTTGATATCGGCCTATCATAGTCAATTCCAAGAGAAGTCTCATTAGCGTATGATTTCTATTTTGCCCAGCCTTAGCATCACTGAAGACGTGGAATTTATAGTTGTGCATATAATTAAACCGATAGTTATCAAGGTCATGTTTCTGTTTACAGCTTGTTATTACTTCTGAAATTGCTGCGAAACTTTTTGGTCCATCTCTTGTGCACCAGTAGCTACCCTTCTGCTATTTGATTGGGAGTAGTGGACTAGACTTTTGTCAAGTCAGGATATTTTGCAATAAAAACTTAAAGCATTTTGACTGACAGAAAACTTTAATTGAAATATATGACTAAAACTAAAGTCACTATTGAAGTCACTGTCTTCACAATGACTACAACTTCAGAATTTAACGTACAACCATGGATTTAATGTCTCTCTCCTTGATTCAAAGGAGACATGTTGTATTCTTCAATTTTAATTCTTTTTCCACTCTTAATTAGTATTCATTTTAATTTTTGAACTCCCAATATAAAGTTTTCGTTTTTTTTAAAGTTTTTTTAAATTAGCTAGTAAATTTCTTTCAATGCAGAAAGTTTCAATTAACTGAGTACCCCTTGAAGAACGATTTGAGTGAGTATCGTTGAGCAAGTTTTTCACTTTAGTATAAAATCTTGTTCTATTGTCATACCCTTCATTATTAAGATACTAATTCGTTCATACTCATTAAGAAGACGAAAACGATATTTTGGTTCTTTCATTTCTTAATAACTTCTAACGTTTTAACAGTATGCACATCAAATATTGTCCTTTTAACTTCTATAGCGTACGAACTTCGAGTTCCTCTTTTGTGATGAGTCTAGTTTCTAAGTTCAGTTTTTTCTTCTATTATCAGCCTTTTTTTATTCTCCTTTGGGTTTGTGTTCGGTCTCCGTCTTATATTACTAGTCTCTCGTCAGCCTTCCACATATTTGTCTAGTTCCTTTCTTGTATTTATAGTTTCTTGCCAGTCTTATCAATTTCACATCTTGTTCTCTTTCTTTTGTTCTCGATATACTTGATACAATTGGTAAAGCAACAATAACAACTGAATCATATGATATCTATGAAAAGTATAGAATGGAATACAGGTATGAATTAATGAAGACTAAACCAAAGTACAATGCAACATTAAACATTATGAATGCGAGAAATAAGTCTAAACCGGCCTGGCAGGTAATCAAGGGAAACATAAACTTATGTTCAACACAAAAAATAAAATCCGATGTAAACGCAGAAGAATTGAGCATCTTTTTCACGCGTACACCGCTGGAAATTGCATCATCATTGATGAGTGATGGTCCAAATAGCCCCAGTGATTACATGAACTGTGTAAAATCGAATGTTAACTCGTTTGTACTATTTTCTACGAATGAAGTAGAGATAT